TATGATATGCAACATCAAAAGTTAAGGACAAAATATTATACAATCATGTAATAGGTATATAAGGAATGTATTTCAATATAACGAACACCATATATGACAAGCCCATCACACCTAACATCATACTCAATAGTGAATAAGATCGATTTTCAAATGGAAAGGGGAGCAAGTGATGATGGGAGATAGAGGGAGGGGAGGGAAAGGGGATGGAAAATAAAGGAAGGAAATAAAACAGAAACAGAGCTTTGGCAAATAGAAAGGGGACCAAGATGTGGAAGGAGTGGGGAGGGAAAAGAGGGGTAAGGAATGACAAAAAATGAGATGTTTTATGTTCATATACCAACTCCCCATGATAAATGGAATTATTATGAACATGTAGTAATAAAAAAATTATGCCTACTCTAGCCATTTCTAGTCAATGTAGCCATAAGTCTTGGCAAGTGCAATTGAGTAAGAAAATTAAATAAAGGTATCCATATTGGAAAAGAAGAAATTAAACTGTCTTTACAGATAGGATGATCTTATACAGAGAAAACATTAATAACTCTACCATTAAATTGCTAGAACTGATAAGCAATTTCAACAAAGTTGCAGGAAATAAGATTAACATACAAATATCAGCTGTATTTGTATATACTAACGAGAGATCTAAAAAGGAAATTAAGAAAAATTCCTCATTTAAAATAGCATTTAAAAACTTATTAGAAATTAATTCAAGCAAGGAGTTGCAAGATCTGCAAATTAAAAGCTATGAAATTTATGAAAGAAATTGAAAAAGATGCAATTTAGTTTTCTGACTGTAAGGCCTTTACTGTATTTAGAATATTAACTTCATAGGGCATGAAAGGCAAAACCCCATTTATAAAATGAATACAATCTTGACAATAGTAGAATATGTATTTTCTAACTGAAATAAGTTAAAGTATCAGATTTATTATTACTTTTTTTTTGGTGGTGATACTGGAGATCGAACCCAAAGGCTTCACATTAAGTTTTACCCCTTATCCCTTTTAAACAAACTTTTAAACTTTTTATTAGTACATGTATGCAGTACACGCAATTTACAATAATCTTGGGGAGTGAGTAGATGTACATAATTCAGTTTGTTTTCTTTTTAAAAATCCCTTTCTTCTCTCCACCCTCTCTCCTCTTCTAATTCCCCAATCTCAATTTTCATTCCTTTTGATACTACTCTGAGCTCATATAATGTTTACATCCATTGAGGTTATTAAGTTCCTTTACATGGATTATCTTTATTCTACTTATTTTCTCTTCCCCTCCTCCTCACCCCTTGCCCTTGTTTCCTTGGACAACTTACCTATTGCTAGAGATCTACCTCCTTTTTCCCTTTTACCCATCCTATATTATTCTCTTTGTTTATACTTTGCCTCACTCAAGTGAGAGATATAATCTTGTGTGTCTGGTTTATTTCATTCAACATTATATTTTCCAGGTGCATCCATTTTCCTACAAAGGTCCCAAATTTGTCATTCTTTATTGCTGGGTAGTATTCCATTATACATAGATACTACATTTTCTTTATCCAATCATCTGTTGGTGGGTATACAGGCTGCTTCGAGGATTTAGTTATTACAAATTGTGCTTCTATAAACATTGGTATACATGTATTGCTGTAGCATGATGCCTTAAGCTCTTTGGGGAAGATACCTAGGAGGGAGATAGCTGGATCATATGGAATTTCTAATTTCAGTTCTTTGAGAAATCTCCATACCAATTCCATAATGGTTGTACTAGTTTACATTCCCACCAACAATGAAAGAGGGTTCCTTTTTCATGAAGAAGACAGAATTTAATAAAAAGGTATTCATTCCGTCATGGACTAGAAGAATCAAGATTGTTACAAGTGTCCATACTACCAAAGCTGATCTGTAGATTCAATTAACATTATGTGAAATCAACCTAAGTGTCCATCAGTGAATGAATGGATAAGGACAATGTGATACACCACACACATGCACGCACACACACAAATGCACACACATACACATAGTGGGATATTATTCACCTTTAAAATTTTAAAAGTTCTCTCATTTGTGACAGCATGGACAAATTTGGAGAATATTAAGTAAAATAAGCCAGGACAGTTAGACAAAATAGTATGTGATCTCCCTTATATGTGGACTCTAAACAAGTTGAACTCATATAAGCAAGGTGTTAAATTATGGTTGTCAGGGGCTAAGGAGTGAGAAATATTCTGAGATGTTGGTCAAATGGTACGAAGTTTTTGATGAATTAGTTCTGGGGATTTCATGTACAACATGATTACATTAATAATAACTCTGTTTTTTGAGGCGAGGTCTCATTATGTAATTCAGGACAGTCTTGAATTCACTACCATAGCCCAGGCTAACCTTGAACTTTTGGCAATCCTCCTGCCTCAGCCTCCCAAATGCTGGGATTTCAGGTGTGCACCACTATGCCTGGATAATTTGCTAATGCAGTAGATCATACGTGTTCTCACTAATACACACAAAACTTAAATATATGAAGCAATGGATGTGTTAATGAACTCGATAAATAAACATCATAAATTTCAAATATACATGTACAAAATCTGAATTTACATACTTAAATACATAACTATATATTTATAAGTAAATAAATATATACTTAAGACACAAACTTTAATATATACTAATGAATAATATATACTACTGTGTACAGTAGAACATTGTACAACTCAAATATATTCTAATTTTTCTCAACTATACCCCAATAAACTGGGGGAAAAATGAAAAAAAACAAATTTTCATTCTTCTCAAATTAATGTAATACAGAATAGTCTGTGGTATAATAGCAGTCCTGAAGCTAAGTGTTTAACCAATAGACCATAGCAAAAGATCTCCATTATCAAATTTTCTGTGGTGGCTGTACACAAATTACTACAAACCTAGTATCTTAAAACAACACTGATTTATTCTTTTACAGTTCTGGAGGTCAGAACTCTGAAATCAATTTCACTGGTGAAGTCAGAGCCAGTTTCTTATATAGACCCTGAGAACAATCTGTTTGCTGGCCTTGATTTTAGCTTCTGGAGGCTGCCTGTGTTCTTTTATTCAACCATCCCCCTTTTTGCTCCCACGGACACAACTTGAACTTTTTCCTTTGATCTTGCTCCCGCATATAAAAATCCTGGTGATTTACATTCAAGGCTGACATGGATAATCTCGAATAATCTCCCTTTTGGAAGATCCTTAACCATATCCACAAGTCCCTTCTTTTATAATAGTTAATGTTCACAGGTGTCAGAGATTGGGATGTGGATATCATTTGGGAACCACTGTTCATTTTATCACACTTTCTTATCTTATAAGCAGTTATACCCAGCAACTCATATTTGTCTGGGTTTCATTTTCCTCACATGTGAAATCAGGAAGTTACATTAAAGTAGTTGTCCCCAGTGTTTTCAATATATTTGTGTTTAAAAAATAAAGTCTTCCCCTTAATACCACCTCTCCTCCTTTACCCGCCCTCCCTTGTCCACTCTGGAATCTGGCTAGACCATACATTCTCCAGCCTGTCTGCCCAGTGCAGTCCCCTGGCTCCACTCATTACGTGTGGGCCACACACAGCCTTCTCTGTCTGTCCTTGGCTTCCCCAGCTGTAGAACAAGGAGAGTCAGGACCTTTCTTTTAGAGTGGTTATATGGCATAAATGAGTAAAACATGCTGTGTCCTTTGGCTGCTTAGTGTTAGCTGTTGCTATTCTATAATTTATATTTACTCATACTTTCATTTAACTTATGTGTATTTGAGTAGCTTAGCAAAAAAAAAGCAAAAAAGACATGAAAAGTGGACCTTTACTCTCACTATTCTCCTCAGGCAGTGAATGTCCCAGAGCAAGGGTGAGAGAGGAAGTGCTGTGAGAAGGCGCCTGTCCCTCAGTGAATCTCAGCTGCCCTGTTCTGTGTTTATGGTCTTGCTTGTATAAGCATCTTTCTGGCCTACAGAGTCTTAATATTGATGGTGTTTGAGCATTTTCCCTAATGCAACCTAATTTGCAACTCAGAAAGAGAATGTGTTCAACTGAAGAGGAGAAAGAATTTCAACCTGGATGGAAGACAGACTGCTATGCCAATTAGGGAATGCTTGGAGTTCTCCAGCAGAACTTCTTCCTGAGGGACTGTCAAGAGTGATTCTGGGAGTTTCTATGTTGACGTTTATGCTAATTTAGAACTTTATCCCTGCATAAGAGGTGACGTGGGTGTACCTAGGGACTCCTGAACTCTTTACAGTAATTCTCAGCCCCAAAAGGCTGTGATGTCTCCACTGGAAAAAATTTAAAGCTTCAGTTTCAATAAGTTTGAGGTATAGGCATATTTTCTCCCTAGAAATAGGAAAATGTGAATGCAATAACAGAAGAATATTATGAGTTTAGTTAAGTTGAAATTAGTGTCAAGTTCATCATTCACTATTGCAGGGATCATATTAGGATGAAATGATAGTATATATAGAAGTCTACAAGAAATTATCAGCCCTTCACAGCAATGTTTAATAGAAACAATGTGATCACATAGCAGTAATCTATCTAGGGGCCCCTAGGTATCTTAGTGCTAACTAATACAGTGTTGACCAGAGAAGCTTATAAAATGCATCTTTGACACTGGACTTCCAATCTATCAGGTTAAGAAAAACAAAGCATTAGTGATTAACAAATGTTGAAATGTAAACTCCACGCAAAATTGTTTTTGCCTTTACTTGGCTTATTGCCCAGAGGAGGGATTTCCAACCTACTCTGGATAGTGAGCCCTCTGAAACTTTGATTCCCCACCAAGAAAATAGCATCCAAATACTCATATAAACAAAGCTCTGCATTTAATTCAAGGATGTGGCCTAAGGAAACAGAGACCCTAGGTTTAACCCCCCTACACACACACTAGCAGAATTCAAGACATTTTCTCCGTAAACCCCTGTCGTGTCTAGACATTAATGTCCTCCATTACAGTCATCTCACAGAATATCAGACCACCTTTTCAGCCTGACCTTATATCCTGTTGGTCTGCCCTTTATTCCAGCTATTGTTGCAGAGATCAGCTTTCCTAAGGTGTAATATAACAATCTGTGCTTCAGCTGTATCTTTTTCTGTCCCACAACATTTCTGAAAGGAAAGCAAGAATGATGTTGACACCTTTTTGACATTAGCACACACATAAACCTGAAAGTACGAGGTAGTTAACAATTTACTGAGCATCTTTGATCAGTGGAGGACAGAAGCAGATGGCTACACACTCCCACGTTCCAGCCCACCGTTGGGCAATTTTGACCGATATTTCATACAGCTCTTTAGAGGACCAAACAAGATTGAGTTCCAGTTGCCCACAGTAGGGTCCTACCTGATAATGTAGCCTTGTATTAGCTCTTTCTCATTCCTGTTTCTGCTTTTCAGACGCCTCCACCCATTTCCTGGGATCACACCCCAAAATAAAAGGCACATGTACAAGCTGTTGTCTAAGACTCCACTTTTCAGGAAAAGCTTGAGCTCAAGCACCAAACTGCATACATCTAGCTCCGCATCTATACTCTTTATTTTTCTTTAAGCCTAGAATACTCTTTTCCTTTTGTATTTAGCAAATCTCTTTATCTTTAAAACTCTCCTCAAATATCATTGTTTGCATCAGAACTCCAATTAGATTTGGCTTCTAGACACACTGTCTGGTCCATGCAGTTTTCCCTATAAATATCTTTATTATCAATACATTTACCTTATTGTTTTAACTTCACCTTAGTATTTCTATACAGTAGGAATTTTTATTTTATAAAATTTTGAAATTTTAAAAAGATGTGCCTTTATTTAAGCCTCTTACAGATTATGTGACTTCAGAACTGTCTCAGACTTGGTTGAGAATTCATCTGGCTGCATGTAACAAAAAACACAACTACAGTCTCTTAGTCAAGTGGGAATTTATAATCTCACATGACAAAATCCAGAAATAAACTACTGAACCAATATTTCTAGGGTTTTTAGCTTTTTTCCCTGGTGATATAATGGCTCTAGTAACTCTCATCATATGCAAGATAAAAGATTCATAAAAAAGGCAGAAAATAGAGTTGGAGACCAAGAAAGCCATGATAATCCTTCCAATTAAAACAAATGAGGAACATACAAAGCATTCTCAGAAATGTTAATAGGTCTGTTCTTTATGAGTTGTCAGCCTGGATTGTATTATACACCCCTAGCAGCAGAGCTAGGAAAACAAATACCTAGATGGACGAAAGACACATTTCTCTCAAATACAATCAGGATTTTGATAACAATGAGGAAGGGATAAAGTGATAAATGTATGTCAGATAGGCAACTAATACTGTGTACCACTTTCCTACTATATAAAATGGAGTTACTAGGCTGCCAACTCTTCAGAGTCTTCTGAGGTTTAAATAAAATAAATGTATGTAGAAGATCTTTGCAAGATACCATAACCTATACTTTGGATCTAGAATGCCCTTCAAAGGACCATGTCAGAAAGGCTCTGACCCCAACTTGATGCAATTGGGAGATGAGAGACACTTCAATAAGTAAGCATATTAGGAGGTTTTAGGTTACTGGGAGTGTGCCTCTGAAGAAAGCTGTGGACCCTGGTCTCTTTCCTCTTTTTCCTTTTTTGCTGTTGTGCCACACCATGTGTTTCCTGACATGGCATGTTGTATGATTACAAGTCCAAAGCAGTGAGACCAACTCATCCCAGACTAAAACTTGTAAAACTGTGACTTAATATAAATCTTTAATCTGTATAAGTTTATTTTCTCAAGTATCTGTTGCAGTAACAAAAAGCTGACTATCTCACCATGCAAACTATCATGCATATAATATGAAAATAGTATTCAGTACTGAACTAAATTATAGTAGGTACAAAAATACTTATTATGAATTTACATTAACAAAATAAATTTACCTTCTACTAATGATAGAGGACCTTACATAATATAAGAGAGTAGACAAATGAAGTTTTCCTTTTTTTGGAATGTATAGGACTGTTACCATAGCAGTAATGGTAACCATAACAGTTAGGTCACCAACACTTCATTGCAATTTAATGACAGGAAGGGAAGGAAAAATATCTTGTCATTTCAGTTGTATGGGAGAATTTTGGTAAGAACACACTGTGACTTGGCTAGCACATCTGTACTCTTAAGAAAACAATACCAAAAGCCAAAAAATGACAGTTTTATAGCTGATTTCAGAGTCGGTGTTCTGAAGCATGGTGTCCTTGGGTGTCATGTGGAAACGGGCTGAGTTGGAAAAACTCACATATTGAATCATCCATATCACATCATATGATTCTGGCCATTGTCCTCCATTCCCTGGAAACAGACTGCCTTCTGGTGCCCAGGTCTCAAGAACATCTATAGTACAGATTTCAATTCATTTAATATCGAAGCCAATTTATCCTGCAGTTAACTCCAGTAAATATTAGGCTAAATTGTGTTAAATATTGCTTTCTGTGCTGCAGATAATATAATTTATGACCATGAGGATGAGTCCTTGGTATATTTGTTAATCTCCCTAAAGGGGTATGATTTCATTTGTATTTGGTCAATAGAGAAAAATTAAGAGACACAATGACAGCTCACTCTGAAAAACTTCAGAAGGTATCTCTAAGAAATGTGAATATTTTCCTCCACTGACAAATATGCATTATCCTGCCTATCAGAATTGACAGTTGTTTAATTATCTAATTCAAATTCAAAATTTTCCAATTGTCTCTAATATATTCCTTAGAGCTAGTTTGTGTATATAGTTATATAGCACATAACAGCTTTTCAGTCAACACTGGATCACATCTACAATGACGGTCCCATACAATTATAATGAAGCTGAAAAATTCCCATCAGCTATTGACAATGCAGCTATCATCAGATCTGAGCGCAGTGCATTCCTTATGTATTTGTGGTGATGCTGGTGTGAATGAACCTACAGAACTGCCCGTTGTATGAAAGTGTAGCACATTCAATTATGTGCAGTACATAATACTTGATAATGATAAATGATGTTACTGGTTTATGTATTTTTTTTACTATTTCTTATTATTTTAGAGTATATTTCTTAACTTATGAAAGCTAAGTTTTCTGTAGAATAGTATATTGTGTTATGCCAGCAACCACCTCATATAACTTGTTTCCTATGTCTTGACTGAATCAAGAGGCCATTTCAAGTGATTTAGCTATGTGATGATTAAGGTTAATTGCAAATTTGATTGACTTGAGAACTGCATAGAGGATTAGTAAAGCATACTTCAGGATGTATCTGGTGGGTCATGAGATCGTGGACTTGTGGGATAGGTATGTTTCCTGCCCTCTTCCTCTCTGGTGCTGTTTCCCTTCTCTTCCATGGCCACCATGAACTGGGCACTGTGATGTTCTTGACTTGAAGCCAGAGGACCTCAGACTGAATTCTTTGAGACTGTGAGCAAAATTAAATCTTTCTTCCTTTAAGCTGGGTATGTGGGATGTTTGGTCTATGTGATGAAAAGCTGATGAGCACAAGCTACACCATTTAGATTTGTAGAACACTCTATGATCTTTGCATGATGGCAAAATCACCTAATGTCACATTTCTCCGAATGCATTCACATCATTATGTGTTCTATGACTGTACATCAAATAGATACACAAATATAGCTATGCCTGTGTCATATATAGATGTATATTTCCTTATATATGTCATTGTAAATTGCAAGGAATTAATTTATGGGTATGTGGGGCTGGGAAGTCTGAAATTTGTAAAGCAGAACGCCAAGTGGAAACTCTAGGGCAGGAGGTAATGCTATGGTCTTGAGATAGAATTTCTTCTTCCTCAAGGAAACCTCCAATTTACTCTCTTTTTTGTTTGTTTTTGCTTTTATCTTTATTTTTAAATTTAATTTTCATGAAAATATAATTCACAGAACGCAATATTTAATATTCGGCTATCTTAGAGCATAAAATTCAGTGGCATTTAATATGTTCAGAATGTTATACAACCGTCACACCACCATATATTTCCAAGATATTTGTATTGCATCATAAAGAAACCTCATGTCTATTAGGTGGCCACCCCATTCCATCCTTACCAAAGGCTGTGGCAACCATATATACTGTTTCTGAGGATTTATCTACCTAGGATATTTCATCATATGTGGCCTTTTTCATTCGACTTATTTCACTTAGCATTATGTTTATAAGATTCATCCATATTGCAGTACATAAAAGCATTCAATTCCTTTTTATGGCCAAATAATATGGATGTATACAAATACCCCATTATTTGTTTATCCATTGATCAGGTAATGTACATTTAGGTGTTTTAACCTTTTGGATATTGTAAATGATACTACTATGAACATTCACAAAATACAAGTTCTGAACATATGTTTTCAATTCTCTTGAGTTCCATGTGCATTTGAAAAAATATGTAGTTTGCTTTTGTTGGGTGAAGCATTCTGTACATGTCTGTTAGGTTTAATGTGCTCATAGTGTTGTCTGAGTCTACTATATACCTGGTAATCTGTTGAGTTGCCCTGACCATTAGTGAAAATCCAGTAATGAAACTTCCAACTCTTATATTTGAACTGTTTCCCTTTTCAATTCAAACTGTGTATTTTTAAGTGTTATATCACCTTGAAACTGCTTTTATTATATATGTCTGTCTTTCTTTCTCATAACAATTTTGCCTTATTTTTATCATATTAATATACTACTTCATCTATCTTTTGAGTATTACTTACAAGAAATGTCTATGTTGACCCTTCTATTTTTCAACCTATTTATTTTAATCTAAACATATTTGTGTATTGAGTCTCTGCTAAACAATATATAATTGGATCATGATTTTTTAAAATCTGCTTTATTCCTACTTTCTTTTTAAATTAATTAAGTTTATTGGTACATTTTATATATATATAATATATATGATCACATATATCATAGGGAATTTGTACATGCACGTGATATATCTTGATTCTTCTTTTTTCCCCATTTCCTTCCACTCTGTTCAACCCCTCTTCCCTTCCCTATTTACAAAAGCTTCATTTCCATTTTTCCTTCTTTTATCATTTTTTTCCTGTCCCTCCCTTCCCTTCCCCCTCCACCCTCTCTTGTTCCCCTTCCCCTTTGCCTCTTTTCTTCCCATTTCACATGATCTGTTATACATTGTGATCCTTACTTACACTCTCAGTTTCTCACACCATAGAAACAATGCGGTATTTACACCTGTGTGTCTGATTTACTTCACTTAAGAGGATGGTATCAAGGTGCATAGAAACACTAAATTTGCTGGAAGAAAGAATAGGTGGAACTCTGAAGACGTAGGTGTGGGGAAAGACTTTATGAACAAGACCCTGATCACATGGGAACTATTACAAAGAATCAACAACTGGGATCTCATCTTATTAAAAAGCTTTTGCACAGCAAAGGAATTCACCAACAGTGAAGAGACAACCCACAGAGTGGAAAAACACTTCTGCCAGCTGTTCCTCAGACAAAGGACTAGTATCTGGAATATATAAAGAATTCAAAAAAATCATACCCCCCAAATTTAAAGACCCAATCCAAAAATGGCCATCTGAAATGAATACACATTTCTCAGATGAATAAGTACAAATGGCAAATAAATATATGAAAAAATATTTAACATCACTGGTCTTTCAAGAGATTAAAATTACAACAGTGAGGTTCCATCTCACTCCAAAAAGAATGGCTATTACCAAGAAACCAACCAATAACTAAGGCTGGTGGGGCTGTAGGGAAAAAGGAACCCTTCTTCACTGCTGATGGGAGAATAGATTGATGCAATCACTGTGGAAATCAGTGTGGAGAGTCCTCAAAAACTTAAAACTAGAGGTTCCATTTGACTCAGCTATTCCCCTTCTTGGTCTCTTCCTGAAAGAATTAAAAGCATCATACCTCAGTGATGTATGCACACCCATGTTTGCAGGAGCATAGTTTGTAATACTAAATCTTGTAAACATCCCAAATGCCCATCAACTGATGAATGGATAAAGAAGATGTGATTTTTAATACAATGGAGTACTACTTGGTCATGAAGAAGGATAAATGAGATATTTCTAGGTAAATGGATGGACTTTGACTCCATTTTGCTCTTAAGTCCTTTCAACTAATTGAAAGGCCCACTCACATTATCAAGGACAATCACCTGTCCTTATTATTTTATAGATATCATTAACATTCATGATTTTAATAGCAATTGATAAGGTTTGCCCAAATCAATAATTTCATGAGAGATTAAAAAGCATCTAATGTTTAATTTTGTCATTCCTTACATAGAGTTATAGTGGCAGTTTCCTGTTCAACTCACTTAGTTGTTATAAATTCATATAGGGAAGATAGGATAAAGTCTTATCTATCAAAATTACCAGTTTTCAAGGTAAGAAATTGACATCATAGCTGACACGAATGATGGAAAAGTACTTTTATCTTGTATTTTAGTTTTTAAATATGATTATGAGCGCACGGGTTTTTCATAATTTTTCTCTTAGATGCTTGAATTTTCACAGCTTGGACTGTGGAAACCTCATCAGTAAGGTTTCAGTGGCTTTTTAACACAACCTTATCAATCCTGAAAAAATTCCTTGCTTTCTGGTACAGCAGTGTATCCCAGAGTCACCTTTCATCTTCCCTACCAACATCATGAATCAGTCATTCTCTAAGAAGCTATGGTTGGCTTCTGGTATTAGGTAATGTATTTAGAAACCAGGATCTTGTGCTTAGAGTCATCATTCTCTTTACTTATATGGTATCTTAAATTCACCCTTATAAACCTAGATACAAAAAAAAAAAATTAATTTTTCTATACATGTCAGAATTTCTGTTTTTTCTATGAATGGCAGAAACTGAACCTTGTCAATCAAAATAAACAGTTTCTTCGGGATATTTTAGGCTAAAGTTGCTCTTTATCCCTCCTTTCAATTTCCTTGTCCCCAAAAATAATATACATCCGGGAGTGGGGGTAAAAAAAATGTTT